AAAATCTAGAGGGTATAATAGAAAAATATTTAAAAAGTTGAAGGATGAAAACTAAAAATATTAAAGAGTTAAAATTGAAAATAAAATAAATAAAATATAATTATTTTATTGTATTAAATAGGTGGGGGTGTAGAAAATGTAGAGGAAAAAAAATAGGAGGGGGTGGGGTTAGAAAACCCAACTTTTATTCATAAACAAGTTTCAAGTTGAAAATGGCGGTTACCTCCGATTTTCCGACATTCAATTGTTGGCGTCATAATTAACGAACCGATTTGTTTTTATCAATGACCTTCCGTGATTCGACTTCAAATTCAAGATCTCCATCGTTTCAATCTCATAAAACCCTATCGTACCTTCCATTGATCCACCACAAATCCAGGTAAACTCATCGTTTTAATCACGCATTTCCCCATCAAATCATTGTATTGTTTCATTTATTTAGTGAGTTTGTGAGATTTGGTTCTCGGTGCAGGATTTAGTATTTTTTTTTTGTCGAGTAGAAGTAATTTAGGTGATTTGATTCGGTTAGTATGCTGAACGTATCGACGGCGATTGAGGAGCAGTTGATATCGAGAGCAATTAAGGAGGAATGTTCGTGGGAGAGTCTCCCTAAACGTCTCCAGACGAGTTTGAATTCTAAGGATGAATGGCATAGAAGGTTCGTGTATACATAGTTAATCAGTTAATGTTGTGCACTATGATTTTAGCTTTTCTCTATACATATTTTAATGATGCTTTTTTTCCCGTTTAGTTGCAGCAGAAAAGTTGAATATGTTGATTAGATTAAGGAAAGAGGTAGTCTGAAATATTGTTGGATATTATATGCTCGAATATCTAATTAAGATGTCAAGCATGAATGTAATTCGGCCGATTTAAATTTGATTTGCCTTGCTAATTAGTAAAACTGATACCACTTCAAATTTTCATAGATGCTATATTTTGCTGGATCACATGGTCTACCGAGAATCTTCTACTATTTGTTTAGAATTTCCTCAATAATGGCAAGTTGGGGATAATCATGTGGTTCAAAACCAATGCTATAGTTATTTTGTATTGATTTCTAATGGAGAAAGATGAGATTGGAACTTTGCCAAAAAGGAGAACCTTGCAACTATGGAACATCTTAGAAAGAAAAATGTTGCATTTTATGGAACAGAGGGACTACCCTGTAGCAATCACCACAAGTAGACTTAATGTTTTCCCTTAATTTATAACAATTATCAATTCTATACTCGCTAAGATTTGATCCAAAGGGTGAAAATGTGCATCCTTTTTTGTAATGAAGAGAGAACTATTTCAATTAGTAAATTTTGAAGCAAATGTTGTTTTTGTCATTTGGTTGAAGGAGTTAAAAGTTTAGCATTAAAGTATGTAAATCTAGCCATTAATAACTGAGTCAAAGTGAATATGGAGAACTACTGGACCTTCTATGATTCATATTATAACTTATGTTGTCTGTACATGCGTTTGGGATAGTCAACTTTGGCCTGTGCGTGTGGCATTCTATGAATCCTAAACTATAAGGCACACACCTACTAAGATTAGAAGAATGAATCAGTATGTTTTCAAATATTCTTCAGGTTGTATAAAGAGTTACCTCTTACAATCATTTTAGTAGTATTTCTTGTTGATGGAAACAATTTTGATTGAACAAATCGGACAAGATTTTTTCCCTGCATCTATCATAGCAGTGATAAACTTCAATTTTCTATGGCTTTAAAATATGGAATCTAGTGGAACAGTTGGTTTCTGTGGATGTGAGCTCCCTGATGGTCGAATATACATTCATAATGTTATCTCATGCCATGTTTGTTAAAGAATGTGATGGTTAGCCATTTTTTCTGTTACTTCATTACTTGAAATAGATTTCATTAGCATCCCTCTTCACACTAGACCTTATTGCACTAAAACTTCTTTTCAGACTTCCTACCATGGTATGTAATAATAAAACTGACCTACATGATGCCAAAAGATAAAAAAATTAAGATCTCTATTTAAGCTCTTCTTTCCTTGGGATAAGGTCTGGATGGTATTTGTAGGTGTTCCAAGTTCATACAAGTTGTGTTCTTTCTTTGAGAATCTATTGTTGAGCAGGATAATTGCACATTCTATAAAGAAAAGGCTCCTATGGCGCACTTCTTTTGTGCGTAAGGTATGCCGAGAAGGTGAATATTACGAGGATATGATGCGTTATCTTCGAAAGAACTTGGCGGTAAGTATCTACGAGAGCTTCCTGGTTTCATTGATAGTCTGCATGCCAATCTCTTGGTTGTGTAGCTGCATACACGTGCTCGCATAAAAAATAAACTATATGCACATGTAGTACCAGAGCCTCTGTGCTATTTACCCCTTTACAGTCCTGTATTACTTACGATTGCCAGATTGGCAAGAGGCATACACATGGTCTAGCATAGCCGGCCTCTTTACCATATTTGTACAAATAGGCTATATCTACCTAAAGCTTTATTAATAGTCGAGTCTTATCCATGTTCATTCTTATTGTCTATGTTGTTTCACCCATGACCTCAAATCTGAAAGAAGTGTTTAGTTTTGTTGTTATTAGGTTCCCTGATTGAGGCATGCAATTAATGATGTCTTTTTTTCTTGCAGCTGTTTCCTTATCATCTTGCAGAGTATGTTTGCCGTGTAATGAGGATTTCTCCATTCAGATACTATTGTGACATTATATTTGAAGTCATGAAAAACGGTAGTCACTTGTTACATTAAAGTATATGACTTTGTTTTCTCTACTTGTAAAGTAAACCTACTAATACTAGTGTTGGTGGCATTAATTTCTGTTATATAATCCATCAACTACCTTATGCTACTAGGTGAGGACAAAAATGAGGAAAATGTTGCTCCCCTGATAATGAGTGCACATTAGGCTAAGGGCTAAAGTGCTTGTGGTTCACCCAGTGAGCCATCCATCATACTGCAATTTTTTTACATTAGTCAGTAGTTGAAAACTTTGAAATAAATACAAGTTAGACTTCCCTTTCTTATCTTGCATAAAGGGGATTCTATCACTTCCATATGCAGCCTATGCATTTTATTTCCAGGAAGACTGATGTTCATCTTGAATGCAGAACAGCCTTATGATCGCATTCCAAATTTTAGTGCGGCAGATGCCTTGCGACTCACTGGGATAGGCAGAAATGAATTTATCGATATCATGAACAAGTGTAAATCTAAGGTATAAATCTATAGTTTTTTTAATTTCAAACTTATGCATTACATATCTCTATATGAGTCTGTGTATGTGCATGTGAATCAGATTATTTTCTGTTTTCATACATATTATTTTAACATTTTGTGTATTTCCTCTCCCTTTTGATATTCTTTCTCACTGTGTTTCTCTGGTTGTATGACATATTATTTAATATGCTTATTTTTGTTTGAAATGGAGTCATGATAGACTAAATGTTCTCAAAGCTCCAACAAGATGTGTAGGTTGTAGCTGTTATCTGTGTGATATTGTAATATGATTTCTCTGCATATGAAAGATTAAATGTTTTCTATTGGAATTGGTAGCCGTCTTCTAGATCTCCCCTCTTTTTGATGCCTTAGGCTATCTTGTTTGACATTTATGAGAGTGCTTAAAGTTTCTTAGGAGATATGTACCCTCTGCTTATTTTTTCTTGGTTTATTTCAATATCGGTCCTTCATCGTCCCCATTTCAGAAACGATGAAAGCTAGCAATTCCTAGTTATGATCTGGATGGCTCAACTTCAGGGAACCTCTACTTCATTCTCTCTGTTTGTGTGAGCTGTCCTTCAGGCCATGCCCTCTATGCATCTACATCCCCTGACATCTACCACCTCAGAAGATGCCGAAAAATATTTAAGAGTTAATAAGTTTACCCATTTCAGAATATTTCCAGTTTACATTTTCTAGATCTCTTTCACATCTCTCTGTCCCCTTTTCCATTCTGAATTATTAGGTGACTTTTGAACAGCTAATCGAAACACTTAATGAGTGGACTTTGTCCAATGCACATCACATGGTTATCATAATCTGGATGGTCTGAAAGTACATCATGACTTGTATTAGGATGTAAAATTCTTTCTCAGATAAAAAGACATACATGTGTGGCTGGTGGCACCTAGGACATACTGGGAACATTAAAAATAACAAGGAAATAGATAGCACCACCACAAATTCGTTGATACCTCTGTGGATGGAAGATCATTGGTCTATTTATTGTAATAAGTTGAAGATATAATGAGATATATTTACATAATGAGCTAAGGCTCATGTAAACAGTGCTTGCATATTACAAACCGAAGATTGTGCATAACATGAATCATATGCTAGACCGAACCAAGTAATTGTTTTGGTGCAACAATGGGTCATCAAGATTCTATAAGTGAAAGAAGCTACAAAGAGCAAGACCTGCAATAACAACTTTAAGTTGTCAAGCACAAAATTCAAGTTTTTCGGATCCTTCTTCAATATACAAATAGCCATCTAGATGATGTCTTGATATGTGAGTAGCAATGATTGAAATGTTTTCTTTGCCATTAAGTCGCTCATTGTTTTCTATGAAGTTAGATCTATGGTAAGAAATGTTTTGGTTGGTGCTGAAACTGTACTGGTTATTTTGTTTGCCACTATCCCGAAGGTGATATACCTTCGGTAACTTGATTAGAAGTTACAAATACTTATAACATGTTTGTTGCTTTTAGCAACACATAAATTGGCTCTCGGTACCTCATAAAGGAATTGGGATTTGGGAATTTGTTGTTAGGAATCAGCCTGAGTTTAAAAAATACTATCGGGTGCACTTCCTTCCCAACATGCATTACATCATTTCCTTTTTGTACTCGTACTCTTGCCATTTATGATATTTTCGTGCGTTGATCAATCAAAGGCAATGATTGTGACAATGGCGGATCCAGAAACTTAGGTGAATGGGGGCCTAGGGTACAAAAATAATGCGAAACCAAATAGTTCACCCAAACCAAAACGGTTTTGGGTTATTCCGTTTGCGGGTTAAATGGTTCAGTTAACCAAATAAGGTAAATTTCGATTTCGATTATTTTTTTAACCATATCAGTTAACCGAATAGCAAAATATACTATTATTTAATTTATATAATTTTCTTCTAGATGAATTGGTTGAACATATATAAAAACTAAAAGAACAAGAATTTGAGATATATTTAACAAAATCATCAACCAACATTATCATTGTAGCATGATTGTAAGAACTAGCGGTAACAATATACGGGGATAACGACTGTCAGTGGGATTTTTTGTTAAAAGGGACTAGGGAACCAAGCACATAAGAGTATAAAAAACAATATTTTACCTACAATATTTTACATTTGAGTGGGGGCCTTTCTCCCACCTTTTTCAAGGCAAGTCCGCCCCTGATTGTGCATGTTCTTATTGGATATCAACGAAGAAAAGCTCTAGAATAGTGATCTAGAGAAGTTGAAACCACAAATATAAAAATTTGGAGGTGAAGTGTGCATGATAGTCAACCTTCGAAAACGACTAAGAAAATATTCTTGAATTCCTTAAAAAAATATTCTTGAATTTTGGCACTGATTAAAGGCATTCCTTAGCAAAGGTGCAATTTAACCAGAAACAATGGACTATCTAATTAAACCAAACGTACCCAATATGTTCGGTTCAAAAATCTTGGGGTGATGGTGTAGGATGTATGTGGACCTTGCCTCTATCCCGGTAGAGACTAGAGAGGCTATTTCTGTAAAGATCCTGACTTGTGGAAAAGTTTTTGTGAAAAAAAGGTATACTAAATAAGATGTTGAAAAGTTAAAGAAAGGCTTGAAACATTCTTGGTAAAATACGAAGAGTTTAGGAAAAGTAGAACAAGTACAACAGGCAAAAAGAGAAAAAGGTTAAAATAAATAATGGACTATCTAATTGTAAGGACCAGCTTTTTCAATCATTTCCACTTGTCTCTGCAATGTCATCTAGAGGGTCAGCAGAGATTCAAAACTTCAAGCTCTTTGTATTTAGAATGTCTCAACCAGAAGTTGCTATTACATGTTATGCTATTCTAAAATTCTTGTGCTTATGCTATCTTGACGACCCACTCTGTCACCAAGAAAATAAAAAATGAATAGTTGAACATCAATTTGTGGCTATGTTTTCATTCAGTTAATATGTTTAGGTATGTTAAATAATGAATGTGGGAAATGGTGAATCTACTCTATGTTGATGCAATGCATTTGATCATGCAAAAATTATATTATTTATCAGCTATATATAATCAATAGGGTGAAGTTCCTTCACAGAAATAGCGGCAATTAAAACACTTCTTGATGCATCTTTGTAATAAAAAAGATGACTGATTGTCTTCTCTCGTTAGTAATCAGTTTTCCTAATTGTTGTAGCACTATCAACTTCATTGTTATTCTGAGTTTCTCAAGATATCTTGGTGGTCTGTCTTCATTGTGATCCACCAGTCACTTAAATATTGCACGCCTTGATATGAGGAAGAGGAAGGGTTTAAAGCCTATGTAATGGTGTGATGGTCTTTGGAGTCATATATAGATGATTGAAACCATGTGATGTGCATGCAACAAAATCCTCTAATCAAGTGTTTCTTGTGAGTTGTCTACAAGTCACAAGCAATCGAGAATGGAAGGGGAGATAACAAAGTCAAGGTCCTACAATACGTAAAATTGGTAATGCTGACTTTGAGATTTCCTAGACTGTTATGTGTGTGGAATATTCTTTAAGGCGTGAGATGCATGTAAGGCAAAGGTTTCCTGGGGTATGAGATGCAAGGAAATGGATGTACCTTGTGAAGATTAGTGCATGACTTGGAATGATACATGTACTTGCATACATATGTAAATATATGTTTCTATTTTATGTCATACGCAAAGATCATTAGAATGGTGAAGAGGTGCATAAACTTAAATACTGAATTGCTTAGAGCATCATCGACATTAATTAACATTAACAAGATGTACCTATAATGAATTCTGGACATTTAAAATAATAAATTATCAACTACCAATTTGAATCTTACATAACATCAATTGGTCCCTAACTTCAATTGTCTTTAAGTAAAACCAAAGAAAGTATCAACGATGAACATCAACAGTATTGACTGATGTTCAATAATCCAAGAGCATAACTTAATCATCAAAGAAAACGACACAGTGAACTAGAGACAAGGCCCTAATGTGACTCTTGAATATTCATTTTCTTTTCTTTTTGCTGTATCTTAGGTAAAAAGACTCTCTTGAAGCCTTGCATATCACTTCCACTAATCACACCCTTCTTGCGCCTTGCAGCTTTCTCGTCAAAGGCTGAGGCATATGTCTCAAGAAAGCTGATGGGCCTCAGCCAAGGTGAGGCATCAAATGGCCAAAATTGTGCCTTGATGACCTTTCGCCTAGGTGTGCCTTCCACAACAATGTCTCTGGAAAGTTTTTACTTGCATGTAAAGTAAAACGGACACCCTTCTCAAAAATATGGAGTATAGCTTCTTAATATCTCTCCAGGACGATCTACGTTTTTAAGCAAGACATTTTAGTTGAGAGCTGATATTGCTATTTGGCAAAATAAACGACATATGAAATAAAATAATTTGAATCACAGGAAACACAGCCTAAATATCGCCTTGTTTTTTGGTCAAATATTTTAAACTTCCCAAGGTGCACATCATTTCTCTCCGTCATAGTATGCAAAAGTTCATGTCAACATTTTGAAGTAGCAAAGTTTTCATGAAATGAACTTTAAAGTATAACCAGGTATTATTTTTATGCATGAAATGCACTTATTTGAGTTCTAAACAAATGAATTCCGGTGAAGTTTGCTAAATGAACTAGGCCTAGATTATATGCACCAGGAAGTTGCTTCCAAACTTGTATGTGAATATCCTCATGCATTTATAGATTTACTTGCTTGTGTTTTACGATTACAAACTAAATATAGCTGGAAGCATCTTTTTTTTTAAATCTAATTATTTATAATGATTTTGGAGCTACTTAGAAAATAATGTGGAAGCTGAACAAGTCAATAGCTAGAGAATCATTGCCTTTGCAACCAGTGGACATCACAATTGAACCTTGGTGGGGAGTCTGTCTAGTCAACTTTACACTGGAAGAATTTAAGGTGAGGTGCCTGGTAAATCTCTCTATAAGCATGTATGCAACCAGTAAATTTTAGTTCACTTATTACATCACTAAAATATATTGATTTGGTTCTCGAATGTTCCTGATAGGATATTTTCCAATCCTTTTTATGAGAAAATAAAGGTGTCAGTATTATATGTGATTGACAGTATTCTTTTTTTTTTTTACATACTCTGAATGAAGAAACTTTCAGAAGAAGAAATTGCAACAATTGACAGAATATGCAAGGAGGAAGCAAATGCATTCATGCTCTTTGATCCAGTTGTCATCAAGGGTCTTTACCGTCGGGGACTAGTCTACCTTGATGTTTGTGTTTATGCAGAGGATCGATTTAAAGGTAATACATGGTAATTAATATTGTGATCAGAATATATTATGCTTATGAGGAGATGGTGGAGTTGTCCTTCTTAAACCACTGTGTCCTTCCTGCATTTGTCCTTCATTTCTCATTGGCTCCTTCTCTGAAGCTTCCATGTTGTATCATCATCAAGTCCTTCAGTCAAGTTTGCTTAACTTGAATCCCTAAAGACCTACAATGGTTTCATTGCCTTTTGTATAGGCTTAACTACACTAACAAAACCAAGTGAAATTCTGTTATTAAGCCTCAGCCAACACTTATTTTCATTTCTCTCCTTTCTCCCATCACCTTTAGTCATCAAGCATAAATCCACAATCAACATCGGAGTTACACAGACTGATGCGATAACCTCGTGGCCAAGGCCTCTTCCTTTCCTAATCAAGGTCACAACACATGTTCGAGTTGTGGTATTTTGTGATAGAGGGAGATAGAGGGGAGAGAGGGCACCTTTTGTTTGCTGAGCAAGTGATGAAAGATCTCAAAGAGGTGATACACCAATGCGTATACACAAAATTTACAGATGGAGTCATGTAGATACACCCATATACACAAATTTTAGACAGAGTGACATCTGTATCTATAATGCCCCTATACACAAATCTGCACAAAATATTTTGGCTGCTGAATCTTTCTACTATATCAGAATTAGCAACCCCTGCTTTCCCACTAAGCTTTGATTGTCACCCCTCCCTGTCCAAGTTCATGTGGTTAAAACTAGAGATAACACATCAAAATTGAGTATATTAGCTATTGTACCTTCAAGCAGAAACCGTATAGATAAAGGGAGTACGTTGACTAACATAATATGTCTTAAGTTTGATGCTTTCAAATATTCTATTTGTAAGGCTGTCACAGAAGTGGGAAAATATTTTTCACATGTACCAGGATTGTTAAAGATGTTGAAATATATTTTGTTGACAGAAGTATATTAATGTAAGTTTGTTTTTATATCATTAGTTTGTTTTCATGTTTGATATGGACGTGAAGGTTGACATGTTTAATGTTACAGTATGCAGGCTAGAAGGGTTTGTTTCAAACAGAGAGCAGTCCTATGAAGACCCTATTGAGGAGTAAGAGATTGATCTTTACAAAAGAATTGCTTCTTTTTTATTTTATCCATTTGAATTAACTTCTGCAAGCAGACAAGTGAAGATCCTCATGTTGCGAACTTCACTATACAGGTTGCTTTATGCTGTTTTTGTGGTTTCAAGTGAGAATTCAACTGTTGCTGAATTGGCCACAACATTACAGGTCGAACTCTCTCAACTACAGGCTGCTTCGTCTTTTGCTTGTCGATTAGGATGGGCAGTAAAACTAATAGACCCTGGATCTATTCTTCAAGAATCAAGTACTACTAGCTCTTATAAAAATGCACTCAGTGATGAGGAAGAAAGTTCTCGTGCTAGTGTGGGCTCTTTCAACATGTCTGTTGATGGCAGTGTATTTCAACAAGATGGGGCAGATAGCTCTGGACCTAGTTCTGGTTATGCTCGTGTAGCTTTTGTTGTTGATGCTAACATAACATCATATCTTATGATGGGATCTGTTTCACCAGGTAAGTTTGAGTTCCTTTTTTCATGGTTTTATCTTTTAAAACTCTCCTGTTCAGGAATAACAGTGTCAATTTAATAGGCAGATTATTTCTGTATTATGATCTGCATGAATGTCCATCGGCTTCTCTCTCTCTATTTTGCTTATCAAATACTCTTCCTTAGGTTTACTTTTTCAATTTGATTATAATATCAATCACTTGAATATCAAAGTTTACTTCCATGCTCTAAATCATTTTCTTGTTGTGTCTTTTTCAGGCTTAAAGTCACATGCAGTAACATTGTATGAAGCAGGGAAACTCGGTCATGCTAGCATAAAAGATCTCTGCCAAGATCTTAGCACATTAGAAGGAGCCAAATTTGAGGGGGTGCTTCAGGAATTTGCCAACCATGCATTTAGCCTCCGATGTGTTTTGGAGTGTTTAACATCTGGAGGAATAGCTCCCAATGAGGGGGATAAGCCTGACATGGATTCTTCAAGCAATGAAGAGGCCACTTCTATGACAGCAGATAAGTTGCAAAGAGAAGAATCTGGACATGCTGTTATTAATGAATCCGGGGTACTTGATGATTCTGTGTCTTCTGCAATGCCTAAGGAGGATGTTGATTCCCATAGTCCTGTGACCGAAGATACTAATGATGTTAACTCCTTGCCTACAATATCTGCAGATGATAGTGAGGGCTCCAATTTGGATCATGGTTCTCAGGATGATGTTAAATTAGTATCTGCTGAAGGTTCTGATGTTGGAGACATAGTAACTAGGAAAATAAGGAAATATCAAGTAGATGTCTTGCGCTGTGAAAGCTTGGCTACTCTTTCAGCAGCAACGCTAGATAGGTTGTTTCGTCGTGACTATGAAATTGTTGTGTCAATGCTACCACTTCCTCATAATTCTGTACTGCCTGGACCCAGAGGTCCGGTTCATTTTGGGCCCCCTTCTTACACATCCATGACACCATGGATGAAGTTGGTATTGTATTCAGCTGCTGGTGGACCACTATCAGTTGTTTTTATGAAAGGCCAGTGCTTAAGATTACTTCCTGCACCATTATCTGGTTGTGAGAAAGCCCTTGTATGGTCATGGAATGAATCTTCAGTTGAAGATAAGTTCCAAGGGGGTTTAGTTAAAGGAAATATACTACTACATTTTTTAAATTCACTCCTCAAACACACAGCCATATTAGTGCAGCCCTTAAGCAGGTATGACCTTGATGGGTCTGGAAAAATGAATACCATGGATGTCCCTCTGCCATTAAAGAACTCTAATGGTTCATTTGCTGATATAGGGAAGGAATTGGGGCTTGGCACAGATGAAAGTTCAAAGTTGAACTTTCTGTTGAACACTTTGGCCAATAAGATAGAGCTATGGACAGTTGGTTATATTCGTCTGCTGAAGCTCTTTAAAGAAAGTGATCCCAACAGTTTTGCACCTGATCATGATAATTATGAATGGGTTCCACTGAGTGTGGAATTTGGGATTCCACTATTTAGTCCAAATTTATGCAAGAATATTTGCAAAAGAGTGGTTTCATCACAATTATTGCAGACAAATTTGTTTACTGAGCATCACAATGCAATGCAAGAACTGAGGAAAAGGTTACAAAATGTGTGTTCACAGTACCAAGCAACTGGTTCAACTGCAAGGATCCTTTACCAAAGAGATCAACCAAAAACTCAAAATAAACTTCTTATGACCTATGCGAGTCAGAGATGGAATCCTCTCACAGATCCGTCTTCTCCAATTTCTGGAATGAGTGATCATCAGAGATTAAAAATTGCTAATAGGCAACGCTGCGGTACAGAAGTCTTGAGCTTCGATGGAAACATTTTAAGGTGTGTTCTAATTTGATCTCATCCAATTTGTTTGCATGTGGTTGATACTTGCTATCCTATATATCTCATAGTTCCCTCCAGACTGAGATCGCATGTCTTTGGTATAGTTTGTATGATACTATTATCGATGCTTTTAAAGTGCATATGACATAGAAAATATATACAGGGAAGGATTTGTGTAGATTAGATACATATAATAATGTTGTGTCAAGTGACTATGCTATGGTTAGAAGGTTTTTCCTCTTTTCCTGTCACAAACTTGCGCACTTCTCTCTCTCCTGCAACTAAATCACCATAACTTTTCACCTTTGGTATCTATGATAGTGATTGGATTAATTATCTGTCTAATCAATGCATATAATGATATAAACACATATAAAACTTCATATGTATTTGAGAAATTTTATAAATATATACAGGTGTGATTCAAGTACCCAATTGTGTCATGTTAAGGTCTGATACCTACCTAAGCAACACATAAATATGTCACACATGTATATTATATAAGCATGCATTACATCACACAGAGCACAACATATCCAACAAAACAAGCAAGTAAAATGCCTAGAGGCTAAAGCATTCATGAAAACCAGGGATGTCATATGTTGACCACAGGTAATCAGTCACCTGAGAGCCTGCTTCATGAAAGGCTCCCACTTTGCAGTCTCCTTGGATACCTCTTTGCATGCTCATTTAACAGCATCCCAATGACTACCAGGACTCCAGGAGCATGCATAAATGAACCAACCACACTAACAGGATAATGCAATGTCCGGATTGATTATTATGAAATAATTAAGCTTTAGCACAATTATCAGGTAAGTTTGAAGATTTGCTAAAGGTTTTCCATTTTCTGACATTAAAAAATAAGAAAGTTCCTGTCTTTGGTGAACAAGCATGATAAGAACGAGAACAGGATAATCAAAACAGCAAACTGAAACGAAGGGTTAAGCTATTTGATTACCGAATTCAATGAGATTGAGATGACAAAATCAAGAGGAAGCCAATGAACGGCCTTTCCTCCTGCCCAAGCTTCACAGTCGAATGCACTTAGAAAGTAGAAACTATAATTCTTTCTGACTCCCTTGTTCCTGATAGGATTCATATTTATAGTATCATATTTAGAATTGGGCTTGGTTTTGGTGAGCCGTCCCCTATCAAAGCATTCCGTCTTGAGTTCAAGAAACCTTAATGCACAGAATGTATTGGGGTATATCAGGATGTATAAGCTGAGGATGCCCTACATGAATATTCTTCAGATCAACTACCGCTATATTGTGTTGTAATGATGTCATTCATGTAAACAACTGCAACAATTATCATGGTCAACTCCATAAATGTCAAATGGTCTATGAGTGCATCACTCCATAAATACAAAAGGATCTGTGAGCATGTAGGAATACTGTAAACCAGAAACTGTTCAAGCGTATATAAAGGTAGTAGGACTTGGGTGAGACACACATGCTTGATGTACAATTAATGGTAGCATATATAGTCAAGCAAGCAACACAAATGCAAATAGAGGCCATTTGGCCACAAGAGAGGTGTTATAAGCATGTCGATAACCCTCATTTGCCAATTGGATCTTTAAGTAATGAAGAAAGTCAGGGAGACTTAGATTGATTGTATATATCATTTGTAACCAATAGAGTATAAAACATGATGGATGCTGTAGATGGTGCTGACTCATGAAACTAACATTAGATCTCGTGAAGTATCTTGCAAGAGTGGGACTACAGCAGCCATGATCCTTTTGTTCAATAGAGACTGAACAAACGCACTCATTTTGTGGACCTATTATCAAGATCAGTGTGACATTTCTTTGTGTCATAAAGCGAGCAAACACACCCCAAGATTTTGTGTCTTCACTTAATTTGTACTCCAGTTATTTGGCTTCCAACAACAGGACAAAACTTGGATTATGCGGGAATGTGTGTAATCTCGCTTATCAAAGTAGAACAGCCCTAATTTGATATAAATTTCACAATTGCATATATGAATATCTTAATAACTTGTGATAAAGAGCAATCAATCAACTATGAGAGACAAAGCTTAGTAACGTTTCGTTGCAGTACATGTCATAGATATACGTTTCTACCCAAATCGTTATATTGATATTTCAGTCACAACCTATTATGTAAATCATGTTCTTTTAGCTTGTCGGCATATCATATTACTTATACAAAGTGTGAATCAAAGCATTTGCATATGTTTTGTGGCATTTGGTATGAAATGCTGCCCCCAAATTTTGATCACTTCCTATGTGAAATTGTCTCTTGGAGGAAATGTAGTCATGTACAAAAACAATTCACATTAGTACTTGGTCTATAACCATTCAGTATGTCAATAATATGACTAAGGGGCCGTTTATGGTTTACCAACATATATTTGGTAAACGTTAACCGGGTAAGAGGTTGGGTCTTGGTAAGTGCTCACCGAGTAAGAGAGCCTTTTCTTCCGTATGAATTCAGCATTTTGGTCAGCATCATTTGTCAGTCAGTGCATGGTAAACAACCTCACCTCTTCCCAGGTAAGCGTCTTTTACCTATAAAAAACGAAACTAATTGCTCACCTCTTACGAAGTCAGCAATTAGTTTCGTTGATATAAATCGATCATAATTAAAAGTGTAGTTGTAGTTTGTAACCCTGATGCTCTTTCTTTTCGTAATAACTTATGGAAACTAAAATGCTATTGCATGCATGCTGCAGATCCTATGCTCTTTCTCCAGTCTATGAATCTCCCTTGAGTTTATTTGACGAGACTCCTGACTTAACCGGTGATAAATCAGATGAGATGGACACCAGAGAAGCTATTCTGCCAGGTGTTAATCTTTTATTTGATGGATCTGAATTGCGCCCTTTTGACATAGGTGCTTGCCTTCAGGCTAGACAACCAGTATCTTTAATTGTGGAGGCTTCAGTCGCCTCTGCTGCATCTTCCGGTGTCAAATAGGAGCCCAGCAGATGCTAAACTTGCATGCCAAAAGTGTATATACAAGAATTTCTCTGTATACTAACCTGGACAAAACCTTTTTCCTTGCTTTGTGCTTCCATGCTGCTGAAGGTTCAGGTATGTATGAAATTTCTCTTCCAATATTGTTCAACACCTAAAAAATATAGGCATTGTTTCTTTTCTTTTCTTTTTCATTGTGGGCTTCATGGATGAAGGTTCTTCTAGTAATTTAGTATAGAAGTTGCGATGAAACTGTAGGAGATATTGAACAATTGAATAATTCTAACTTTTGTTCTTCTGGAAATGCCAAAAAAAACTATACATTTTGCAAGAACAAGAAGTGTGGACACTCTGAAAATGTAAATGCTACACAAAACATTGTACTTGGCGTTTTTTTGTCCAAAATTGCTCATTCTTGCCTACAGAGTAGTGTCCTTTTGCATTTTGACAAGAATAATGGTTTTTGGCAATGAAAACCCCAGTATATTTGGGGAAAAAAGCCAATACTCTTGATTTTAGGGCAAATATATAGCAACCATTAAAACTACCACCAATCTCGCCAATATTTCTTTTTTGTATAAAAAGAATGCAAGTCAATATATTGTCTCTCCTCATAATACCAATCTCTTCAAAATGGGAAAAATGATGAGTTTGTGGTAACTTTGATTGTTAGCATAGATGTACTTTTAGTTTTATTGCATTATTTTCACATTTCTCGTGTAAGGGTGGATATGCCAAAATGCAAACTACAAATGATTTCTATGGTCCCAAAACAAGTAGAAATCTAAGTGCATAAGCACCCTCACAACAAATGCGGATAATTAATGATCTAGATGGAAATCTAAGTGCATAAGCACCCTCACAACAAATGCGGATAATTAATGATCCAGATGATGCACAGCAATGCTCCAAATGAGAAACCCCCATAATGTATTAACAACTAGATATGCAAGGGTATAAACATATAACAAATTCACAAGCAAATAACATGAGGATTTAACGTGGTTCCACTATCAATGTGTTAGTGTACATCCACCAAAGAGAGAGAGAGAGAGAGAGAGAGAGCAAGTTTGTATTACCATCAAGGAGATTACAAAGTGCATGTACAACATCCTTAGATCCAAGATCAATCAAAAGCTTCAAATATCAAGAACACCAAGAACTCCAACTTCTACACACACCAAAAATGGTAAACAAGCACTTGAGAAAAACAGTAGAGAGGGAGGGTCTCGAGTGTTTTGGAAGCTAGAAAGTGGATGGATAGAAAAAGAAGCTATAAATCTCCTTTTTGTACCAAATTTCAGCAAAAGGCAGAAGTAGAAAGGATGGTCTGAAAGCCCTTTTGTCGTCTGCCAATTTTGACAAGGGCGACTGAATATGCTACCCTGGTCGCATATGAATATGCTACCCAGGTCTTATATTTGGTCGCATATAAAGTCCATAGAGTTAGGAAGGTAGGAATGCGACACAGGTCGCATATTCGGTATGGTTCATCCCATGATCTCCTTTTCTTGTGGAGCATCCAAATGTGATTACAAATCAATATCAAAACATCTTGACCTCAAAAGTTGATCTGGATCTTTGGTTATCATAACTGTCTCTTTCTCTAGATGATAGTCCCTCCATGTTTACACATTGACTTCTGAAGCAAATTGGATTACCTTTTTAGTTCAAATTTGATATGAACCCCTATTAACTTCCTAAACAATACCACAAAGAAAATTGTTGCTGTGAAATTTTTCACAAACTTTTTATCAAGCATGAACTTGAATGGATGTTCACTGGAACCCCAAATTTAAGTTGTACCTCTTCTTCTAAAACACAAGGAATAGTGATGTGCTTGCGCGTTTTGATGGAATGTACACATACCAATCTCAAGGGGGTTTGGGGTGTTTTGAGACTTTGGGCTTAGTAGTTAATATTAAGTAGTTATCCTTTATTATTATTATATATTGATTAGTTATCTTTTAGGATATATCTTCTAGTATGCTATTTGAAATTTGGTAGGTTTAGAAAATCTTGAGCATTTATAGGTCATTAGAGTTAAGGGTTAGAGAGAGGAAAAACCGAGTCTAGAGTCTTGGGAGATCACCTCCTTCTCGAATTGTAGGCACTATCCTGTCGTTTTCTTTTGTTTATCAATAAATAACATAAGAGTTCAGTTGAGTTCTTATCAAATACTTTGTAAAGGGATCATAGATACTAGCTTCCTTTTGTTAGAAGTGGATGACCCTAAGTTCATTAATATCTGATACCCACATGTTTGGTTTCTCATGACTAGAATGCTCTTGCAGATTACAAATAAGAATTACAGAAATATAAAGAAGGAAAGGAGAAATAAGTCTAAAAGCTTCGATAACTTGATCACTCAATCTGACATGAGATACTGGAAAATATTTAGAAAGTAGTCTACTTGATATCAGAATGCTAGTAAAATAAAAAAAAAATTGGTATCTTAACAAGGGTTTTGTAGGTTGCAGGGATATACATACACACACGGACTTGGGTTCATGTGAGAAGAAAGTCTTCATGAGACCCGTGAACCAAATTGTGAGCCCTTGGATGAGTTTTTTTTTCTATCACTGAACCTTCACAGCAGAATACCAGATCTTAACAGTAAAGGACACATAACCTTCACAGCAAAACTCCAAACCTTCACAACACTGTACATTCACAGGATCAAGTTGGCCCTTACGAACAGCTTGATGCACTATCTCCCTTCAACCCTTTGAGTGACAGATATAGCCGCTAAACTATAAGATAAGTAAGCCTCTCCAGACCATACAAGTGCGTGTCGAGCCCATGCGAAGGGTTTGGTTAAGATATGCCAAATTCCACTGGGAAAGTATACAGAAAAGACAGTTATTTTCTATTATATTAGTATTTTCTATTTAATTCATATTAGATTAGTCTTAGTTAGTGATCCCGGCTTAGTGAGTCCTTTCTTCCGTGATGAACTTACATTTTGTCTCTGTGGACCGAAAAAAACGAACCTTCATATGAAAAACACAATGAATATTCACAGGAAGCACACACCAAACCTTCACATTTGCGTCTCATGGTCTTATGAAAAGCGGTTAGTCACACGGAAATCCAACCCCAACGCTATATTTGTGTTTGTGCATATATGTATGTATAGATACATGTGCTTCTTCTTTGCATCTTTTGTGAATTACCTGTTGACTTGAAGTGCTTTACATGAAAAACAGTGTGATAGATTTTTTGAGCAATGTATGTGGCTTTCATTGCAAACAAGCAATGATCGATATTGGACAAAAACTATCAGGTATAATAGTTTCTTTTGCGTTCACATTTCCAACATTTGTCCAAAATCGCTTGTTCTTGTAAACTATACAGCTTTTTTTGGAAATTTCAGAAGAATAAAACAAAAATAAAGTATGATGATTAATAAATGATGACAAATAGAGGCTACGCGCTGGGGCTCGTCCCCATAGGTTGCCTGCTCTAGTCATTTCAAGGCCACTGGGGTTTTTCTAACTATTATCGTGAGGGCCCATGGGATTAATCGAGATGCACATAGACATCCACGGTTACTAGACAAAAATCTAAATCACTGAAAAGTGTTGTACATTTCTCACTAATTTATCGTCCTGAATTAGTGTTTCATTAACATAACTTGGGTTTCGGTTTTGTTGTTTTTATGCAGGGCATACCTGCAGTTTCTGGGACTACCCGTTACTAGTCAACACAAGACGCATAGGTAACAAGCTTACGAGCACAGACAATATCTTTGCTAACGACTATGGGCAATATATCGACTGAAAAAAGAAAGTGAAAATGACAGTTTCAGTTACGCTTTCTGCAAACAAAAATTCAAAAAATGATTTCTAATATAGCAACATGAGTAAAAAAATATAGTTGTTGATTATAGTGATATCCATATTCATATATGAATCAAAATGGAGTGCGACTTGGAACCACAGTTATATTTGTTTCTACACATGGTGTAACAGGAAGAGTAGATTGTTCTTGTATCAGACTTTCTTTTACATCTTGCATTTATATATTGTTTTGATTCTTTATTGTACAAGTTACAAAGCATAGTAATTATAACATTTTATTTTTGGGAATTTTTGAAGTCAAGTGTTTTATAAAGTTATGTTACTTTATTCCATTTTATGGGGCATTTCTATGAGTTCATGGAGACAAAGGACTAGGGTGATAGATTGTGTGTAAAAGCTAGTAGTTATAGATTAGTTAGAGATGCACAAAAAAGCCTGGAGTTTGGTCCAACCTCGGGCCATGCCTAAAAGTCAGATCGTGTCAAGTTTTTTCAAAAGCCTAATCAGGTCTATTTTCACAACGAAAGCCTAGCCCTACTCGGGCTTGAAAAAACCCAGCTCCTTTTTAGGTTACTGAAAATAGACTTGGAAGGTCTGAATCCAAGCCCAAAAAAACCTTAATTGAGCCTATATTCACACCCAGAGCCTAAGCTCATACGCCTGAAAAAGCTTGATTTCTTTTTTTATTACTGAAAAATGACTTGAAAAGCCTGAATTCCAGAGTTGAAAAAGCCCATGCCTTAGACATTTTTATTTGCGGCTAATAGGGGTGGGGTGGAGAGGAACAGGGTGATGGAGGATGGTTAGATAGCTAATAGTTAGGTATAGGGGTGTTTGCGGTGCGGTTTGGCAAACCATACAAGATATGCCGTTTGAGTATTTCCTCAAACGGCACCGCATAAACCTCAAATTGTACCGTATGTGCGTTTTATGCGGTTTATCCCTATGACACTTTATGTCTACAATCCAATAGTTATAAGTTTAAAAATACATTATAAAATCAACGATAAAGTGACTGTAGTCCAAGAAAATAAATAATTTCAATACATTCGATTCCTAAGTATTGTATAATTAAAAATAGTACAAAACTATTAAGTTTTAATAATATTGGCAATTGGATCAAACTCAAAGTTCAATACACAAAGTCCAAGAATTGTACATAAATATTATATATATATATATATATATATATTATAAAAATTAAAAATACAAAATATGCGGTGCGATGCGATTTGAACCACGGTTTGATACTCAAACTGCAAACCGCAAACCGCACTGCATAGTGGTGTTTGATAAAAATACAAACCACACCACGAAAGTGATGAACCATGCTTTACGGTGTGATATGAACCTAGTCAGATACCAAAGCTGGGCAGCTAAGTTGGGAAAAGGGTTGGTTCGCTTACTGATATCAGTCAAGACTTGAACCTATGTTATTTGATTCCTGTCTCTCTTATTAGATAAGAATATTCCAAAAAGGCTTAATAGGCTCATTACACAGTTGATTGGACACATATCATTCGCTCTCCTAATCAACCTATTGACGCATTCATCAATTTTGTAAGTCAACCTAAGTATCTCTTACGACGATTCATAAAACCACCAAATAGTGCTCCAAACAAATTCGTCATCATTTGCAACACTTCATATCTTCGATTACTATTAACTGTAATATTGAAAGTAGATTTAACAAACACAACTTTATGCATTGATTATTTCATAAATCATGCTCATAACACCAAAAACCATGTAGAAGTATATTATATTTATATACAGCAAATAGAACAAATAAATCCACATACCCTTCTCACCTTTGGTGAAATTTGAACTCTTGACCCGAATACTCACAATTTTAAAAGTAAATTGAACCATTGGTATATAGCTAGAGCTAATCATACTTGTTTTCAAAGAGAATAGTAAAATACATGAAAATAAACCGTATTTTTATTTTGTTCTTTTATGTAGCGTTTGGTATGCAGACATGACTGAACTGGACATGACTGAACTGGACATGACTGAAGTTTTTCAAACTAAAGACTTCATAAACATATTCCAAACTACAATTTTAAAAATATATATTTTTAAAATAAAAATTAAATGAAAATATACTTCATATTCAAACAATTTATGAAATGGATAACATGGGTGATGAGTGTTGTAGGAGACAAAGTGATTAACATCCTCATGTACATAATGATTGAAATGCTAATATCCTTGTTGCTAAATTATTCTTTTTTTTTTATATTAAATATTAACATTTATTAATTTAATTAAAATAAAACACAAATACAATTGTTCAAATTTATATAAGTTAATTTTATATAATTCAAAATTCATTTCTTTTAAAAATAATAGCAAAAACTAAAAGCAACAAACAAAGTTCGAACAAAGGGTCTGTAAGATGCAGAACCAAACGAAACCAAACTATCAAAAAATAAAGACAAAAGGTCCTGAACAAACAAAAACCTAAACTAAGGGGTCGTTTACCTAAACACTTACCCGGTAAACACTTAGGGGTAAGAGTCAACGCTCTAACTTATTTTACCGAATAAGATTACAGTCCATCAAAACAGTATCGTATGTAACAATTTACTCGGTAAGGGATTACCGAGTAAGATTCGTCATCCTCGCTTACCATCACTTACCGGTTAAGACTCTCCATCTTTATCCTCCCTCTTACCAAGTAAGGGGCCGTTTACCAAATGCTTACTTTGGTAAGCGCTTACCAAGTTATATTACCTTATCAGATGAATATAGTAAGGACCAAAAATCTTATCCGGTAAGAACGAGGCAAGGATTGAGAGTCTTACCGATAAGTGAGAGCAATGATTATTACCACGGTTAGTTCTTACTGGCTAAATTGTCGCATAAAAAGCAAAACTTTTTTTTTTTTTTTTACAAAATTTAATAGATGAATAAACAAATATTGGTAATATTATACCTAAAGAAATACAAAAATAAAAACAAAATATGAGTAGATAATTGTGATTAAAAACAAAGTCTTGAAGGAGTCCAAACTCCAGCACCACATGCTCACACTCTGTCATGTTTCATTTGTTTTTTTCTATTAATTATACAATTCACCTTTTTAGCAATATATAATTAAACACATCTATTTTAATATTTAATTTAATTTTAATTTATATAAGCAATAAACTTGAAATCAATAGCTTTAGATTTGTATATTTTAATATTTAATTTAATTTTGTTTTGATTAACTTGAATATTCAACCCGCTATACGAATCGATTAATTCCATAACAACTACTTGCTTTGTAGGTATCTCGGAGTCACCACATTTGAATCTTTGTGGTCATAAGATGATTTTTATTCGTACTTTGATTTGAACCTAGGACCTGCAAACACATTTCATCTTTGGATTATAACATTTTTAAATGTGCATTTTTCATGAAAATTGTGAAGTAATTATTTTTTCTAAATTAATAATAAATAAAAATATATTATTTTTTATTTATCTGAATAATTTAAATAAATCCCGTTCAGAAACGTGCTCATCATAACGGTAACGTAATTATATTCTTCAAATTGCAAAAGCACCCCCAATTTTATGACTTATTTACAATTTCTATCCCTACAACGTGCTTATCATAAACGGTAACGTGAAAGCATTTTCAATATTTCCAAAAACACCCTTTCGTTTTATGACATAATTACACTTTTACCCACACTAAATTATTGACTCTTCAAAAAATATATAAAATCGATGATCAATTATCTTGTTTCTTTCAGTCGTATATCGACTGTTACGTTTAAGTTTAAGCTCGATTTTGCAGCTTTAAAAAATATTTGACTAAGAATTGAGCTCGGGTTTACGAAAATTTGAGTTCCGTTTGAAACTCAAGAATGGAATATTTAGGTACGTTTGATTAAAACAAGTTTAATTCGAATATGACGTAAAAATATCAACACATATGGCTTGAATACTCAGTAATAATTTCATAAAAGAATTTATAAACTTGAAATCAACTGGTTATAAGTTTCAAACTCGTTTTAGTGTATGTTTTTTCTTTATAATTGTCTGTGTTCTGGATTAGATTGCATGCACCTCAACTAATTATATGGGTCATCGAATAATGGTCGGATAAACCTTTAGTAACGTTGAAGAGAATCGAACTGATCACCAATAAAGAACGAACTCATTTATTGTTGGGTTTAGATTATAGAGGTGAGCAGAAAGTCATCCGATCTAATTTAAACCGATCGACCATAGTTGGATATCTAATTGTAACTAAATCGAATTGGATCCAAAATTTTAGCATCCAAATTGGATTTGTCGGTTATAGGATGACAGTTCGAAATCCAATAAAATTAAACTGATCCAATCTAGTGATCATCTAACTATCACTTGATTATCATCTAATTAATAACTATATACAATTATAAACATTTTACAACACTGTTTTTTGATGGTGAATAACTGGTTAAGACGTTTGATTAATTGATTGAAAATTACATCAAAATACTGAATCGATTTAATCAAATCAAATGGATAACCGATAATAATATCCAATTGATAGAATCCACTGGTTGTTATTATCAGTTATCCATTTGATTAGATTAGATTGATTCAATATTTTGATACAATTTTCAATCAGTCTATTTTATCCACTCATCCATTTGATTGAATTAGAACGGATGACAAAATCCAAGATTATTGGATGATTGGATCATGTCAGATCTATAAAAATACATTAAATTTCAATCGATTAATACCACTGTATGAACATTTACAGGTGCTAAAATAAAAAAATCTAAATATTTTATTTTATTATATTATTATTATTATTATTTTAATATTTTTTTATAAATAATAGATTCAAACTTATTTAAAAAAATAATTAAAACAATATCTTTCTTATATAACTTTTCCTTTTTATTTTTTAAAAATATTTTAAAATCTCTCCTTTAAGTCTCAAAAATTAAAAACAAAATATTAAAGTCAAACATGTTCGGTTGACTAAAAGTTACATGAAAAATGCTGCGTTCTAAAAGCAAACTGGTACCCCACAGATCAACGGCTTGTACTACTTTTACTTGTACCGCTGAGATTTTCTCTAGTGGACACGTGTACGTCGATGAGATGCTAATTTTATCAGGCGGGATGTTAAATAAGATTAACGGTCAGGATTACATCTCTATGAGTTGTCAACATATGAGTGATTGAAAATTAAGTTTTAATTGGAAAAACCTGGAACCGACTAAAAAACTCCTATATATAAACCGCCGTACCCTGTTCCACTCCCATTGTCTTCCACTTTCTCTCTCTACAAGCACTTTCTCTCTAAAAACTTTCAGATTCCAGTTTTTGAAGGAGGAAGACAACAATGGCGTCTTCGAGCTTCGTTATGGTGTTGTTGTTTGCTATGTTCGCAGGATCTGCTCTTGCTCAGTCTCCGACCGCCGCACCAACCGTTTCTCCGGCTGCTCCCACCGTTGCTCCTCCTTCTCCCGTCGTCGTTCCTCCTTCCACGGCTCCTACAACTACACCAACCGAGGCTCCTTTGGCGTCTCCACCGGCTCCTCCTACTTCGCTCACTCCCGATGGTTCTCCCTCCGCTTCGCCTCCTTCGATCGCTTCCACTCCCACCGATTCTCCTACCTCTTCACCTCCGAGCGGTGCTAGCTTGAACAGAGTCGCCGCCGTTGGATCTGGTTTCGTGGTTGTCTTAGCAGCGGCCTTGGTTATGTAGAGATCTATTCTTATTCGAGAGTTCGTTATTTGGTGGTGATTATCTTCGGTTCCTTTGTGATTCTTCAGATTTTTTTGTTCTCCATTTCATCGTCATTATTTATTTTTTAGTTGTTGATTTTAGCTTTATCATGATTGTTGTATGTAATGTTTGACGACGATTCTCGATACTTCGTTTTGACGATCTCACTGTTCATTTGATGTAATATTATTACTGTTCGATTTATCGATTCGTTCTATAGCCTTCGTTCTTATATTCTCATCTTCATCGTTAATTAATTCATCGCTACAAGACACGAAACAATCATTTTTCCATTGTACTACCGATCAATGCATCACAACTCCGTCAGGTACAACTGATTGATCCATGTAAGCTTCTTCGTTACGCATCGAATTCTCTGAATATTTGAGGTTTATTTTTGGGGACGGAGGGAGGTGGAGAATGTCGTTTTGCTCAAAATAGAGTGTCGTTTAGTTTGGAATCTGTTGGAGGCCATGTGCAATTGCATCTTCACTGTGGCTGGACTTTAAGGCATGTTACTCTACATCATATCTGTTCTTTTTATTTGAATGATTGGGTCCCAAACACAGATGCTTGTACTGCAGATGATTCCACCTAATTTCAGTTCTTTCTCTGACAATACTTTTTTGTTTTTTGGTATCTATGAATTGGAATCAGGAGACTTGCTTACTGACAGCAATGTGTAAGTTGTATTGTGTTTACATCTGAGACTTGGATCAATAATTGTTTTTGTCATCGACAGTGTTTGCAAAATGCAAACAGTAGAAGAAAATGACACACTATGATTATCCACCTGTCTAAAAGTGATCAATTATTAGGTGTAATTTGGTTAAAGTTGGATCTAAAAATGCAACATGGAAGTTCAGACTAATTACTGTTCACATGTAACCCAATGAATGATATATCGACCGATCTAAGATTGGATATTTAGTAGTAATTTGTTTGAATCAAATCCAAAATTTCAATGTCCGAGTTATAATAACAATTTAAAATTCGATAAATGTTAAATTGATTCCATCTAATTATCATATATAAACACGGGTTAAGGGGTTTTTGATATTGTGGTGCCATCAAAGTCCAATTCAATATATACTTGTAGATAACATCCAATGGGTAATGGGTAGAACATCAATCCGCCCAAATTTATTTATTTCATAGAACACTTTTTTGTAGGGATTCGTAAAATGTTATGCAATCCAATTAAAATTGATGTTATTATTTGATATTCAATTATAAATGGATCTGATTAGATACAAAATTACATCTAAATTGGATTGATAATTTCTTGATGGTAGTTTAGAATTTAGTGAAATCTAAACAATTTCCAGTCACCTCCAATTAATATATGTAGGGTTGGGTTCACGTAAAGTTTTAAGTGTAAAAAGTGGTTTCATGCAAACATGTTGGTCTGACGTGATCACAGGTCTACATATATATATATATATATATATATATATATATATATATATATAGA